GCCTTCTGCTGTTGTACTAGTGAGTTCAGTTGATGTGCTGGCTGTTGTGGTCATAGATTCTGTTGTTGTACCCTCAGTGGATGTCCCTGCATTTGTTGAGGTACTCAGTTCATTTGAAGTGGTAGCTGCCGTTGTGGTGGTAGACTCAGTGGAAACAGTTGTGTTAGCTGCTGTGGTGGTAGCCTCAGTAGAACTGCCTGGAGATGTTGATGTCAGTTCATTTGAAGTTGGTGGGTACCGTTGTGGTTGTAGATTCAGTGGGAGCAGAACTGGTGGCTGCTGTGGTTGTAGCCTCAGTTGAAGTGCCTTCTGCTGTTGTACTAGTGAGTTCAGTTGATGTGCTGGCTGTTGTGGTCATAGATTCTGTTGTGGTAACCTCAGTGGAAGTCCCTGCAGTTGTTGAGGTACTCGGTTCAATTGAAGTGATAGCTGCCGTTGTGGTGGTAGACTCAGTGGAAACAGTTGTGATAGTTGCTGTGGTTGTAGTCTTGGTAGAACTGCCTGGAGATGTGGAGGTCAGTTCAGTTGACGTGGTGGCCTCCATTGTAGTAGATTCAATGGGAGCAAAACTTGTGGCTTCTGTGTTTGCAACCTCTGTGGAAGTGCTTGTAGTTGCACTGGTTGTTTTTCTTGAACTGCTGCCAACTGTGGTTGTAGATTCAATGGTAGTAGCAACAGTGTTGGCTGTGGTTGTATCCTCAGCAGAAATACTAGTAGTTATTGCAGTGGTTCGTTCAGTAGAAGTAGTAGTGGCTGCTGTGGTTGTAGCCTCAGTTGAAGTGCCTGCAGTTATTGTGGTTGTCAGTTCAGTTGAAGTGGTGGCTTCTGTTGTAGATAAGGTTGTTACAGGAGTAGTTGAAGATGTCCCATGGATTGTGGGGAATTGGATAACAATGGAGGCATTATTATTTTTCCCATTATAAACCAGGGACACTATGAGTACTCCAATTGTTGTTGTTATCACACAAGCTAAGAGGCAAGCTAGGAAGATCTTGCACAAAGACCAGTCATTGAAGGAATATTGTGTTACCTGGAAAGAATTTAGATAAAGTTAATAGAGATGAAAAGAAATAACTTGAGGAAAATTAATAGTTATCTCTTTATAGCTTATTTCCTTCTAATAATTGTGACTGTACAGTTTTAGGTCTCACACTTGCCCATTTTGAGCTGATTTTTATGAGATAAGAATTTCCTTTCATTCTTCTGAATGCAGACATCTCATTTTCCCAATATCATTGATTGGAGAGACTGTCCTTTCCCATTTTGTGTTGTTGATTTCATTATCAAAAACTCATTTTCTGTAAATGTGTTGATTTGGTTTTGGCCTTTCTGTTCTGCTCCATTGGCTGATATATATTTTATTTTCCAGTACTGTTCTTCCTTTGTTTCTATAAATTCATAATGCACATGCACCCAGCATCCCAGCTGCTGGGTCCAGGACTTGAATAGTGGTTGACTATGTGAGAGTACTGTGATGTAACCATTAAGCTATCTGCTGGTCCCCAAAAAAGTCTTCTTAAATAAGATTCCAAAGGAACATCTCTGGTAATTTCATCAGAATTGCATTGCCATTGTAGATTAACTTGGATAAGATTGACATTTTAATCTGTGCTCTATAGCAGAAACTGTGAAACTGGAAAGTATAATAGCAGGAGGTCAATTGTAGTTACTAGAGACAGTATAGGAAGGGTCGGGTAATAGAGTTTGGGAGGAAGGATATTGGGAGAAAAAAAAAACCAAAGAAACAAAACATTTAATAGACACAAAAATGAAAAGTTGTCTCTTGATAATGAGTATGGTAGTATCACTTACTTGACTACTATGCACTATATACATGCTAGGAAAACCATGTTGTACACTGTAAAGATGTATAGTGACTAAATGGAAATAAGTAATAATAATAATAATAATGATAAAAAGGAAATAGGTGACTATAGAGTGTAATAAGACACTTTGAAAGAGAGTGAGCAAGACTATACTATCTTTCATTATAGAAAGTTACTATAATTGTTCTATTTTATTATTAATTGTTGTTTATCTCTTGCTGTGCCTCATGTACAAATTAAACTTTGTCACATATATGTGCAGTATAAATGTAGTATATATAGAGTTTAATACTGTCCACAGTTTCAGGCATTGACTGGGATTATTGTGATGTATCCATTGTGGGTAAGGGGGGATTGTTATATACATATATTGCTCTTTATATCTATATGTATAATATATATGTAATTATGGTATGTATATTTATATATTCATTTATATATTTATATATGTAGTAATGGTTTATATATATTTATGTGTGAAGTCACAGTATATATACACACATATATACCATATAGACCATAACTACACACACACACACATATATATATATGTGTGCCTAAGATCCTGGGTGGAGAATGGAAGAAAAAGGGATTGTGGCATGGCCATTTCTCGAGAAATCATCCCCCAGGGGAATGGCCATGCCACAATCCCTTTTTCCTCCATTCTCCACCCAGGATCTTAGGCATACATTCAAGTGCACAATCAGGTGTTATTTTCAAACCACCAGATCTAAGACTCGAACCATGGTCTACCATGTGGTAGTTCAGCAACATAACTTCTACACAATCTAATCTACTGGCCCCAAACACTGTTCTTTACCTCTTTCATCTTATTCTTTCAGCCATGAAAGTCTGTGATGTGATTAGACTAAGGATTAATGTGAGTAACATTACCTTTTTAAGTTTTAAAGTACTGTGCCAATATTTGTATAATTAGTTAACTTTTTACAAAAGAAAACTACATAGTGCAAAACTTAGAAGTCTTGAGATCAGAGTCTTGATTTAAACACATACATGACATCCTAAAGTTTCTTAATTATCTAATTTTCAATTTGCCTTATATCAAAAGAAGTGATAATATCTACCTATAACAGTAGTTGACAAAATTTGTAGTAAGAAATGTCCTTCATAATTGTATTTTTCAGAATGCAGTACAGTGTAATAATTAAGAGCTTAGTTTTTAATTAAGAGCCTGGTTTTTGGAGTCTAACAGATTTAAGTTTAAATTCTGACTCTGCCTTTTACTAGCTGGATAATGACATTTGGAAATTTCCATTATTCCAGTTTTTTCATATATATCCATAACAAATATCACCTATTTCACAGGATTGTTATAAATAGTAAAGAGAAAATGTAGGTAAACTTTACCTAGCATTCACCAAGCATTTTTTAAAAATGATTTCATAAACTAGCTCATTAATACTCCTCTGGTGACTGAAAGCAGATCACTAAAGGTAACAAATAGAATAGATACCTTTGGAGCATGTGGAGTTGCTTCTAAACATCCTAAAATATGGAATACTGCCTCTGAAAAGAAACCCAAATTTGGGTATTAACAGTGGCACCAATAGACCAGCCCCATAGCCTAGTGGTTAAGGGAGCCAGATCTCACATGACCAACTGTAGTTTCAGTCTCAGCCTTGGAAGCTCGAAAAACATACCAGGTGCATGTATGTATGTGCTCAAAATTGCTACAGGATGGAGAAATGGAAGAGAAGGAATTATGACATGACTGTACTCCATTAGGGGATGCTTTCTCCCTATCTCTGTCTGTCTCTCTCTCTCTCTCTCTCTCTCTCTCTCTCTTTCTCTCATGAATACACATCACCTCTCACAATTAACAAACAAACTAACAAAGAATGGCACCCACTGAGTAGTCATGGGCAATGCAAGTGTATTGAGTACCAAGGTCAAGGGCATTCAGGACACTAACTAAAACAGTCCAAAAACAAATGACACCTCCTGCCCCATGTCATCTAAGCCTTAAAAACGAAGTCAACGAGGAAGGAGAGAAAGGGTGTACTCACAGCTCAGTTAAGGATAAAATGGGTTGTACTCACATCTCACTTTTGTTTGAATCTTTAAAAAGAGAAGCAAAATTAATAGAAGTTCATTTAACTTGACCTCAAGTCTATATTCTAGTGCTATCACTGCCATTAAGTAGTTGTGTGAATTCTTATGAAACTCTTATTTTAGATTTACTCAACCACATTTTTTTTCAGCTGTAGCCAAGGCATCAAAAATAATGTTCAGATCTCTGATTGATCTGGTTTGTTTAAGGTCATCAAACATATTCTCTAAATAATTTCTATCTATCCAACTATTCTTCCATAATGCCTCATGACATAGTTTATCCTCTCTTATTTTGTCAGAATCTCTCCAAATTGTCACTCTAGCAGGTTTAATCAGAGGAGGAGGATAGTCCAGACCAGAAGCACTGAACTAAATAGCTGAGGACCATCAATGATCAGTCAACATCAAATTTTGATCTAGGAAAAATGCAATAAAAGGGAACAGGGTCAGGAATACACAGGAAAGCTCCTTCTGTCACAATCAAGGTGGAAAAGACAAAATAGTTTCTAAGTCAAGACTAAGAAAATACAAAGTCAAAGTCAGGAGAGCTAAAGGAAGACCCAAAGGCAGTTAGGCTCAAAGGCAGACAGACAGGGAAGCAGAGACAGATCACTCACAGATTAGGACCAGAGGCCTTAATGCGTGACTTCATCTTCCACCTGAACAAGGTTGACAAGTCATTCACTGCCAGTGTACTATTTACTACGTTGTCACCTACTCAGTACTCAGTATAGTAAATTACAACAGCCACTTTTTCCAATGGGAAAATAAAAGCCCTTCAATTTTTCATTGACCTTCATATTTTCCCTAAACTCTGTATATGTTTTGTATAGTGTTGCATAAATAAATCTCCAACTGGATCATTAGCTCCCTAAATGAAGAACCCTTTTTTTTTTTAAGGTTTTTGTCTTAGGGCACATGTGCTTGCTGGCAAGAGACAGACAGGGACAATGATAGGGAAAGTGAGAAATAACTCCCCGCCCCACAAGGGGGGATGGCCACATGGCAATCCCTTCTCCTCCATTCTCCTCCCAGCATCTTGAGCACGAATGCACACACACCCAGCATGAGTTTTAAGTCACCAGGTCCAGGACTTGAACTGCAGTTGGTCATGTGGGGAGTCCAGCAATGTAACCACTATGCCATCTTCTGACTGCCATGAAGAGCTCATTAAATGAATATTTATATCTTCTACCTCTCTCACATTCTATCTCAGTGACTTAATATGTTCAAAGATACTATATGTAATCAAAAGAAAAATGTTAATGTGAACACGTTGGACATTTTCCCCTCCAAAATGTTGGACCTAGAGTATTTTCATGTGAATTACATCTTTTTCTGTTTTTCTTTTTTGAGAGAGATTTTTGCTACAGGGCGTGTGTGCTCACTGGAAAGAGAGAGAGAGAGACAGGGGAATAGCCACTCTGTAATCGCTTCTCCTCATTTTCCTCTTAGGATTTTGGGCACACATGCACATGCCCAGCATGAGTTTTAAGCCACTCGGTTCAGGACTTGAACTGTAGTTGACTATGTGGGAGTCCAATAGCAACCATTATGCCGTCTGCTGGTCCCCATGTGGATTATAGCTCAACCCAACAAAACGTTGTGGTCCCAAACATTACCTGACACTGTCGGAATTCTCTACTTGGAAATTCCTCAGAATTTCCAAGGGTCGCTGAGCCAGTGCAGACTTCAGTTAAATTGGTACCAATATCACCAGTTCTATCAGTTGATGCAGAAAACTGACATGGTGAATTTTGAGTTTCATGGCTTCTTGGGCTCCATAATGGCTGTAGGAAAAAAAATGGGAGAAAATTAGAAAGCCATTGTACATTGTATTTTAACATAATTCTGACAGATTAAACCAGATTGTGACACATCACCAGGTTGTTTTGATTGAATAAGAAAATCATTTAAAAATCAACTAAAGGAATAAATGAATACACATTCATCATATTCCTTGTTCAAAAAAAGGTCATCATAAACTACTTAATTTTGTACATAAATTTTTTGAGAGCTTTTTGCTATAGGGAGCATGTGCTTGCCAGAAAGACAGAGAGAAACAGAGAGACAGAAAGTGAGAAATCACCCCCTGGGGGAATGGCCATGCCACAATCCCTTCTCCTCCACTCTCCTCCCAGGATCTTGGGCACACACGCACACGCAACCTGGCATAGGTTTAAGCTACTGGGTCCGGAACTCGAACCACAGATGACTACACAGGAGTTCAGCAACATAGCCATTATGCCAACTGCTAGTTCCTGTAACTTTTTACATAAATATTAATGTCAATGTACAGGAATAGACATTATCTTTTATTCTCATCATATTTAATTTATTTGTTAAATTTATTTATGTGGTAAGCTGATATAATGAGATCATATTTTTTAAAAAGTCCCACAATGAAAATTCTAGAAGCTTATCAAGAGCAATCCTTTGATTATATTCAAAATCAGTAAACCAAGACCTAAATAGGTAAAGCAAATCTCTAGATATAGTAAATTACAATAGCCACTTTTCCCAATGGGTAAAAAAATAAAAGATGAGGTTTTTAAAAACCAAAGATTATTTAAAATTCAAAAGAGGAATGATCCTTTCCATAGTGAGCTAATAATCACAGGCCATTTACTTTCCTAGGGAGATGTGTAAATTCTCAATATGAGCTAAGGATCTGAGCACCAAATGAAGGCAGCTAAACTTTGGGTGGTCATTTGATGTTCACATCAAAATGATGTGATCAGAAAATAGAGAAATCTCACACACGGCCTTTATTTATTTATTTTCTCTTAAAGAGGGACAGGGTGGGGTGGACAGTGAGAAAGCAAGCCACCAGGTCTAGGACCCAAACGGTAGTCGGCCATATGGGAGTCCAGCGCCCTCAACCACCATGCCACCTGCCGGTCCTTGGTCTTTCTAATGTTCTTGGATAGCTTAGGAGACTGGAGAACCAGAATATAAAAGGGTATTAAGGGGCCAGCAGGTGGTGTAGTGGTTAAAGTGCTAGACCCCCACATGGCCACCATGGTTCAAGTCCCAGACCCAGTGACTTGAAACTCATGCCAGGCACATGTGCATGCATGTCCAAAATCCTGAGAAGAGGATGGAGGAGAAAAGATTGCAGCATGGCTATCTCTCGAGGAGGTGATATCTCACGTTCTTTCTCTCTCTATCTCTGTGTCTCTGGGGGGCACATGCACCTTATAGTAAATATCTCTCTTTTAATAAAAAAAAAAAAAAACATAGTGAAGTCTCCATGTTGATTAGGAGACAAATTGTGCTAAGGAGAAGGATTAGCCTCAAATGCTTGTTCCCCTCTCAGAATATTTGAAACTGCCTGGCATTGGAAAGGAGAGCTGACCTTGATATCTCCAAAGATCAGTCTCTCAAGAATATAGATACAAACATTCTAAATGAAATTACAGTAAAATTAAATTTTAAAAATGTAAAAATATGAAAAGATTATGATCAAGTGAGGTCTATTTTAGGAAAGCAAGTTAGTTTAATATTCAGTACTATAGATCAAATTCATTATATTAAGGGAAATAGAGGGAATGTGGATAAAAAAGGAAAAATCATATGAACATATCAAAATATATAGAAAAATCTTTTGACAAAATTTTCCAAATTCATGGGAACCAGCAGTTAGCATAATGGCTATGTCGCTGGACTCCCACGTAGTCGACCGTGGTTCGTGTCCCGGACCCGGTGGCTTAAAACTCACGCCGGGTGCGTGTGCGTGCGTGCCCAAGATCCCGAGAGGAGAATGGAGGAGAAGGGATTGCGGCGTGACCATCCCCCCTGGGGGGTGATTTCTCGCTTTCTGTCTCTATGTCTCTCTCTGTCTTTCTGGCGAGCACACGCGCCCTACAGTGAAAATCTCTCAAAAAAAAAAAAAAATTCCAAATTCAGAAACAATGCAAGATGTCTATTCTCACCATTTTCATTCTATATTACACTGGAGGGCCTAGCCAGTGCATTAAGTCAAGAAAAGAAAAACATACACTTCAAAAAAGAAGATATAAAACCTTCCCAATAATCATGTGAAAAGTATCTCAACTCATCAGAAAAATACAAATCAAAATGACAATTAAATACTAGTATACACCCATAAAATATGAATACAATTTAAAAGACTAAAACCTTGGGACCAGCAGTTAGTGTAATGGCTGTCACTGGACTCCCACATAGTTGTCCGCGGTTTGAGTCCCAGACCCAGTGGCTTAAACTCATGCCGGATGCGTGCGTGTGCATGCCCAAGATCCCGAGAGGAGAATGGAGGAGAAGGGATTGCGGCGTGGCCATCCCTCCCGGGAGGTGATTTCTTGCTTTCTGTCTCTCTGTCTCTCTCTATCTGTCTGGCGAGTGCACGCGCCCAAAGCAGAAACCCCCCCCCCCCCCAAAAAAAAAAAACGAGAAAAATAATTTAAAAAGACTAAAAACCTTAAAGTATTAATAATGACAAAGCCAAATAAATCCTCACGCATTGCTTATTTCCTTTCATTTTGGAAAACAGTATTTACTAATGTCAAATATACCTATTTACAAGTCCTGCTTCAGACCAACATCCCATGTGGCATCTTCAGCCCCAACCACTGACTGTTACAAAGCCTTTACCTGACATGCCTCAGTGAAGAAAGTACTTTCTCATAGCAGACTTGGTTTCAGCCAGTGCATTGCAGTCTCTGGACAGAGTTTCAGTCAGGAACTCAGTCTCACCTTTCCCTCTCCTCACTCTGAGCCGATCATGCTCTTAAGAATATCTGTATTCTAAGCCTAGATGTTTCTATTTGCAGGCCTTGTTTGGTAAATGGCGTTGTTGGAGAGCTTCAGTAAAGACACTGTTCAGTGCATATGTGGAGACCTCCTTATTGGGGGCCTTGAAGACTGTTTTCTCCACTCTGATCTAATACTCAGTTCTTTTTAACTCTGTCTCTTTCTTCTTCTAGCTTCCAGAGCCATAAAATGGCAGAAGCCTTTTGTTCAGGGCTCACTTAACAATGAGATGATCCTCTTCTGCACTGATTCACCTAAACTTTACCCAGTACTATTCCATGGAGAAAAAAATATGGGACATTATGGCCCTGGCATCCTTTCCCCTTTGGCCTCATGCTATACTACTGGTGAATAAGGGCTTCATTGTCACTTTCAGTTTGACTCAAGATCCTAATTGACCACCTGGTCACTGAGTAGCTCTCAACAACTATTTTATGGTACAGTCATTGTGTTCCTACAGAAATATTCAAGAGATGTGAATGCATATGTCCAACATAAGCCATGGACAAGGAAGTTCTGAGCTGCTTTATCTGTAAAAGTCAAAAATTGATACCCAAATGTCCATCAACAGGAAAATGAACACATGACAGCTTTATTTATGCAAATGAAATATTTTACAGTAATAAAAAAACAAAGAATCAGTGACATAGATATAATAATGAGCAACATAACTGCACAGAAAAGAATACACACTACATCATTTTATATTTGCACAAAGTTTAAGAAAATGAAAACTAAACTGTGGTATAGAAGTCAGAAGAGTGGTTTTCTCCAAAAGAGTAGTTTCCCCTAGTCAGTGGCAACTAACCGGGAGCAGGTACGGGGCATCTTCTGGGTGTTGCCCAGATTCTAGAGTTAGAGTTTTGTGGTGGTTACGCAAGCATATGTGTGATGTAGATATGTATATATGTGTGTGTATAAAACTTCACCAAGCTGGGGAACCAGCAGTTAGCATAATGGCTATGTCGCTGGACTCCCACGTAGTCGACCGCGGTTCGCGTCCCGGACCCAGTGGCTTAAAACTCATGCTGGGCGCGTGTGCGTGCGTGCCCAAGATCCAGAGAGGAGAATGGAGGAGAAGGGATTGCAGCATGACCATCCCCCCTGGGGGGTGATTTCTCGCTTTCTGTCTCTATGTCTCTCTCTGTCTGTCTGGCGAGCGCACGCGCCCTATAGCGAAAAACCTCTCCAAAACAAACAAACAAAAAAACAAACTTCACCAAGCTGTACATTTCATACGGGTTTGCTTTACGCATGTTTTACAGAAAAATGTATTATATCTTAATTCTTTTACTTTTGAAACAATGGGTACATTAAGAATGGACCTTGGCCCATGTTGATGATGCGCATTGCCAATACGCTGTGCTCTACAGGTTGGCCCCACAGGGTTGGCCTGATTTTATTCCCAGGCCATCCTAAAGGCCAGGTACAAGGGGCAGCACTTATAATCCCAGAAACTGAAAATGCTGTGGTAAGAAGATTGTAAGCTCAAGGCTGGCTAAGGCAACATACTGAGACTCTGTCTAAAAAGGAGCCAGCGATGGTAGTGTAAACCTGTAGTGCCAACTGACAGGCTGAGGCAAGGAGATTGCAATAGAGCAAAACTCTGTCTTTAAAAATGAAAAGAAAAAAGACTTTAATGTGTAGAAATTTTAAAAAGTCATTTAGGAGGTGGGGAGAACCAGGATAGAATGCAGAACAAGACAAAATAATCTCACTATACTACAAACGGAAAAAGACACAGCCTCCCTGAAGTGAGGAAAGTAAAAAGGTGCTGACCAAAGGAACTTTGAGAATAAGTGGGGTCTATTACAACAAAGGCAGAAGAAACCAGATAAGGCACTGCATTCTAGTCACTACATGTGCTTTCTCCAGGGTACAAGTGAGCAGTCTGCCACCACCTCACCTGCATACCAGAGCAGAACTCAGTAAGTGGATGGAAGATGGTAGGGCCAGGTTTCTCATTGTTGGAGTGAAAATTTATAGAAAAGCAAGGGGAAAAGGCTAGAATGATTACCACTGAAGACAGAATCAGCTCATGTTGGGACCAGCAGTTAGCGTAATGGCTATGTCGCTGGACTCTCATGTAGTCAACTGCAGTTCGAGTCCCGGACCCGGTGGCTTAAACTCATGCCGGGCGCTTGTGCGTGCGTGCCCAAGATCCTGAGAGGAGAATGGCGAAGGGATTGCAGCATGGTCATCCCCCCTGGGGGTGATTTCTCGCTTTCTGTCTCTCTGCCTCTCTCTGTCTTTCTGGCGAGAGCACGCTCTCTATAGCAAAAACCCCTCAAAAAAAAAAAAAAAAAAAAAAAAATCAGCTCATGTCTAGGTTAATAGAAATACAAATGGTTACATATAGAAATATTTACAGATATGTGTATATGTAAACATGTCTCCTTGCCTTGTCAGCTGAGACGACCCAAAAGCAAAAATAACAGCAGTAGCAATGAGCATATCTAGCATTCAGATTTTGGTTGTACCATTCTCCATTCAAACAAAATAGAGCTTCTTGGAGAAATGGCTGCTTCTAGGCCCAGGACAGGAAATAGATGGGATCAGCCTGAGCATCTTGAAGTATTAGAGAATAAGGAGTCCCCTCCCAGCATGACCCCCAAAGAGCCACAAATACAGAGTATATCAAAAGGATACAGAAGCCAAGTAGAAGCACTCCCAACATTGAAACTTGAAACATTTAAGAAAAAAAAATCAAATAAGTACTGCTGGATTATAACCCAAAGTAAAAAAAAAATCGATCATGCTAATATAATTAAGTTCTTATATAAGCAAATAAATAAATGAGAATCTCTCTTGAAGAATTCCAAATGATTTATATAGATACTCCACTCTCCAAGAATATAACTCTCCACTTCTTAAATGCAGGCTGCATTTTAGTAATTTCCTTGCAAAGACTACAGTAATGTAATGAGCAGGGTAACTTCATAGGGAAGAAAGTTGACAAACACTAATTTGGCCAGAAAATTACAACAAAATTCATTTTACAAGCTGCAGTGATGCACAGGAATTGAATATATAAAATAAATTAAATAATAAAAAATAAAAGATACTGACACCAACAGTGCTAATCCATATTGGCAGTATATACCCTTGATAAGATCTGGTGAGAACTGCACTCTACCTCTGTGATCTTCACCCATATCTCTAGTCTAACCAAAAAAAAAAATCATAATTGAGAGAAATTCAGAAAAATGGCTGACCAATACACTTCAAATTTTTTTCTAGACAGTTAACACCCAAGTCTACATAATACATTTTAAAATCATAATTTGATAATATAACCAAAACCAGAATTTTTAGCTTATGTTTGCGTTATGGTAACTATGGAGCACTATTTGAACTTGTTTTATATTCTTACCCCAAATATTGCTAAAGTCTTAGACTAGTGAATATTTAAAATAAAATTTTCAACTACACATATATTGATATGAAGAAAAAAATACACGTTTCTTATTAATAATTAGTAATAGAATAACTAAAAACTGGGCTTCACGTAAAACTTTTAAAATTGCTTTTTAGTAAGAATTGTTGCAAATTTTAAAAAAAGAGTTGCATCTATATTGAAAATAAGACTCTATAGATTATCAGAACATCACAGAAATGCAATCAACACTCACCAGCTTGTTTCCAGAGTGTTCAATATTCACTACGTATTTCCCATGTTTTCTTTCCATTCTTGAGCTGCCGATATCACAAGCTTAGCTCCAAAAACATTGTTCACCCTGTTCATTGCCCTTTATACCTACAATCTTGAGAAATAATTGAGTTATTAGTATTAAATCTAGTATGAGACATCAGGGCCAATGTGGATTAGACTAAATAATAACTATTCTTCATATGGGATCCACCTTAAAGGAAGAATTGGGGTGTTAAGCAATTATGTAAAGACAAAGAAGGTAATCCCACCTCTGTGAGTACACTCTCAGTACTACTACACCAGACAGCCTGCCTAGTAGAAAGAAACTATAATCATATACAATTCTCCCCTCTCTCCCCCATTACCTCATCTCACAGGACCCTTCCTTCTGACTTCAGGAAGAGCCAAGGCATAATTCTAAGTGAATGTTGCTCCTTTTTAACTAGATGTGATTATCTTTTGCTTTCATGGGCAACAACTTTTAGGTATTCATGACCCATTTTTCCTCGTCTGACCTTGTATTCTTTCCCATGTTCTAAAACTTTTCTAGTTTATTCTGTCTCTCTGCTTCTGGAAAAAACTAATCTGATTTGGTTTAGACTTCCTCAAGTCCCAATCCAGCACAAATTGTTAATCTGATGAATGAGTCTTTGTGAATGTATTCACCTGAGTCCCTGGGTTCCATGTGACATGGCTACCCAGACCATTATATCTGAGGTGTTCATGATTTAGTAACAAGCACATGGACAGGCAAAACTCTTCCAACTACTGCTTATTGTACTAAAAAGCAAAAGCTTTTTTTATCAGTAGAAAGTTTTTGTCAGGACCTAAAAGACAATTGGCCAAAATTCAAAAATAATTTTTAACCTCTAAAATAAATAAGTTATGGGAACTAGCAGTTAGCACAATGGCTATGTCGTTGGACTCCCACGTAGTCGACCGTGGTTTGCGTCCTGGACCCGGTGGCTTAAAACTCACACCGGGCGCGTGTGCGTGCATGCCCAAGATCGAGAGAGGAGAATGGAGGAGAAGGGATTGCGGCGTGACCATCCCCTCTGGGGAGTGATTTCTCGCTTTCTGTCTCTCTGTCTCTCTCTGTCTGTCTGGCGAGCACACGCGCCCTATAGTGGAAAAAAAAAACCCTCCCCCCAAAAAATGTTATCAATTGGCTCTCAAAATATCCAAGGAACCCCAATTGGTACAGAGAGTTGTTTGTAAAAAATTAGTACAGAAAGTTGTTTGTGGAAAACAACTTTTAGGTACTTAAGTAAGTAGTAATTAGTTCACATATATTTCTAGCACACAAAGTAACAAAGAAAGAGTGGTTGTGTACTTCTGCCAAAAAAAATTAATAATAATAAATAGAGAGTCTCATGTAGCAAAATTTATCTGAATAAATGCCAATTGGACTTCAAAGATAAGAATCACCTGATTAATAGCATTGCAAAAGGTCTGAGAGATCCTGTAGTTCAGCCATGTAATTGTAAGGTTAAGGAATTTTGTTCCCAAAGAGAGAAAGTGATAAAAATCAGTGGTGTGGTGGAACCCTACTTTTGTTCAGCCTAGTGTCTTCTCCACAACTAGCTTAGAAATGACAATGTGGAAAAATGGACGGTCTCGTTGGAAGTCAAAGAAATGTCCTTTTGAAAATAAAGATGAAGATTTTAAAGACATAGAGTTAGAAAAATCCTGGATGAGGTGCCAGTTACATATCTGACACAACCTAAGACTGAACCAGATTCTCATGAGCCAGATCTGGGAGTTTGACTTTTGGTCCTATGTAATATTCATTCAAACTATGTTCTTGAATTGGTTTACTATGCAGTGATTCCAAGGGTGGTCATGGAGTATCTTACTACCTTTGGAAGAAAATTGTCTGTGAAAAAAAAAGCAAAACTATTTTTTTTAATTAAAGAAAAGGTTAAATTTTTAAATTCCTTATTTATTCAACAAGCTTTTGACATTTCCACTGTACCCAAGTATTGTACAGGACTGAGTGTTCAATGGCAAAAGTCCAGATTTCTGCCCTCCTGGAGTACAGTGAAACATATATTATGTATTAAAATTTTGTTTTATCTTTTCTAAAATTCTTTTAGAAATACATTCTTTAGCAAAAGTGCCCCTTGAAATTCACTGAAGCAAAGTAAAATGCTCAAGCGCCTAGAAAATGAAAAAGGCTTGAAAAAGCTCTGGAAGAGATTTCTTCCAGGAAAGAGTAAGACAATGCTTTATGCCTCTATGCTCGAACTAAGCCAATGAAACTGTAGTTTGGGGGACCTTATAAGCAGAGTGATCATATAATTTATAAGCTCTTCAGAAACACCTTTAAAAGCAAAGAGAAATTGTATTAACAATTACACAGAGACAACAGTATCTCATGTAAACCAGGACATGGGGTACTTAGTCAAAAGAAACTCAAGTGAATTGGACGATCATTAGTACTAAACATGACCATTGTATAAGTCAATGAATTTAAAAATTAATGTAATTATCTCTAACAAACACATATTTCAATTGAATGGAATACATATTTTACATGACTTTTTAAAATGTAATATAATATTGTGGTACTGAGATACATATATTTAAATTTTTAATATGTATTTTTTCTCAAAAAAAAAAAAAAAAGCAAACCAGCAGTTAGTGTAATGGCTATGTTGCTGGACTCCCATGTAGTCAACCATGGTTCGCGTGCTGGACCCGGTGGCTTAAAACTCATGCCGGGCACGTGTGCGTGCGTGCCCAAGATCCCAAGAGAAGAATGGAGGAGAAGGGATTGCAGCGTGACCATCCCCCCTGGGGGGTGATTTCTCGCTCTCTGTCTCTATGTCTCTCTCTGTCTCTCTGGCGAGCGCACGCGCCCTATAGCAAAAACCTCTCAAAAAAAATTTTTTTTAATATGTATTTTTAAAGTTTATTTATGTTTTCATTAGAGAGAGACAGAAAGATAGTGAGATAGTCACCATCAATAGCGTCCTCATGCTACAATTCTCTCCCACCCTCAGTAAACCTGGATCTTGGGTGTGTACACACACCAGGCATGTAGAGAGAAGCCCAGGACAGGAACCCTGGGCTTCCCCATGAAAATCCAGTTCCATTACCACTGCACCACGCTCTGGCCCCACATATTTAAATTTTAAGTGCTCAAATAAATACCCAGTTAGAGAATGAAATAGTGGTTACCACAGGTGGGAGATAGAAAAGAGACTATAAGTCAAAAGATACAAAATAGCAGATATATAAGATGAATAATTCTAGAGAGCTAACGTACCATATGAGGACTAAAGTTAATGAAATTATATTGATTAAGGAATTATTTTGTTAAATAAGTAGATTTCATCTGCTCTTGACATTAAAAATAAATAACTTTGTTCTGCTTTACTACAGTAACCATTGTACTCTATGAATGTATATGTATTCCTTAACATCATGTAAGCCTCAAATATACACAATACATTTATTTTTAAAAACAAATAATTAAATATGATAAATATATTTTCTGTGGAGTCCCAGAGCCATCAAGTAGGTGAAATTCCACCAATGCACATGATTATTTCAACAATATATACACAGCCTTCTACCACTAACTGAACAATATCCCGGTCCCACACTGCTATGCCAAATATCTTGTAGGGAAGCTCTTTATATCTGCAGCATTTTAAGCCAAAAGAATTTGGAAGCCTGTATTAACTGAAAATGGTTGACAACCTCTTAACAATGAGTTCTTTTAGTGTAGCAAAAAGAAAGCAGTCTGTTAATAGAAGCCATCTATCATGATAATCACATCATAGTCTCAAAGATTACAACAACATTGATTTATCAATCATGTTACCCACATCAAACAGTTCTGTGCCTCACATTTCACCATGATCTGACAGTAATCAACCCACCTCTGTATATTTGCTTTGGCCTTTTAGTATGATGAGAATAATCTGTCAGCTACAGCTCACTTATCTTAAGCAATTTTAAAAAATAATTATATTTTTCATTTCATTTATTTCTTACTTTAATTTGACCAGAGAAAGACAGAGAGAGTGAGAGGGAAAATGCGAAAGCAAGCTGCCAGATCCAGGACTCCAACCACAGTCAGCCACGTGGGAGTCTAGCGCCTTTAACCACCATACTACCTGTTTGCCCCTCTTTAGAAATTTTTCAAAAGACAGGACACTACTGCAGTTCATCATATTTTGTTGAGTGATTAAGTAACCAAATAGATACTAGAACTAAAAGACTTCAGTACAGTATTTAGATTTACATTCCCCATTAACTTTTTTTTTTTTCTGGTGAGTTTTTTTTGTTTTTTTTTTTTTTTTTTTTTTTTTTTTTTTTTTTCTTTTTGGGGCCTGGCCTCCCACACTGCAATCCCTTCTCCTCCATTCTCCTCTTGGGATCTTGGGCACGCATGCACACATGCCCGGTGTGAGTTTAAGCCACTGGGTCCGGAACTCGAACCGCGGTCGACTACGTGGGAGTCCAACAACATAGTCATTATGCTAACTGCTGGTCCCCCCATTAACTTAAACTTGAAAAGATCACTGCTCCCAACATGTGGAAGTTTTTATTAAGTCAAAGTCAATCAGTACAATGACTATGCAAAATAAATACATAATAGATAAACAAGAAAAAAAAATCAAGTGGGAGAGTGGAAAAAATAAAACTATTGGCAAATTTGTTCAAAAAGTCACCTCTCTTGCACCTCTCCAACCAAAAATATATAAGTGGCTTAAATTGGGAGGTTATTTTTCCTTGATGTAAGAAGACAACGGAAGGGCAGTGCAAGTGTGGGTGAGAGGTAGGAAAACAAAGGTTTCATCCCTCGCTAAAGGATGTCACTGGGGCACACTGAATGGGTGCTCCCGTACACTGGGTGGCCTCTGACTCAGCCTATCTTGTCATTAATGTTATTGACATTTCTTGTGGAGGGAGGCCTCTTCCAGTGCATACCACACTGATCATATCTAATCCTCCTAATACCTTCCCAAATTAAGTATCATTACCCCATTTTCCTGATGAAATGCTAAGGCATTTAGTGATACTTTGTGAGTCTCAAGATAAGTTTGTGTCTCCCCATTCATTCACTCAAGAAGTGGTTATTCAAGTTCTACTTAACTCACTGTCACGTTAGAGAAAAAACTGGCGGATGAAGAAAAGGAAAGATATTTAGAAACTTAATATCTTATGGATAGATAAAAAATAAAAAGTCAACTACAGACTCCACTGCCACACCTCAGAATATATCAATAAACAACACTGTGGTTTACCGGCCGCAAGAAAGGGATGGTGCTGATGCCTGGAAGACTTGCCCAGTAGTGAGAGGAGGATGGGATTTATACTTATATTACATTATTAGATTACATGACATCAAATTACATCATCTGACCATGGTTATCAGGGTCTAGCATCTGAATAAATGAGACTGCAGTCCATAGGAATGGGGACCAAAAAACAAGGCAAGGATTCCAACCCTGTTGGGGAACTAAGAGAAACAAGCTAGTTAGTAAAATAGGATTCAGAAGGAAAACCCTGAAGAATGTCAGATCTACAGAGTCACAGAGAGAGTTTGCACTATGAACACTTAAGTCATAATTATGTTATCATATCTGCAGCACTATTGGAACTTGGGATAAGTCCCAACTCCCAGACCACAATGAGAATACCAGTCATTCACACCTGTTGTAGCTCTCCACTTTCATCATCTAAGATTGCACTTTTAGGACTTCTTGAAGTCAGGCTTATTCTGAGTAGAGCTGTGAGCAGAAGAGAGATGAATCACTTTGAAGTGGGAGCATTCAGAATCGATGGATCATAAACCATGATCAATGACCACAAACAAACCAGCTTTCATTAGCCTGAGTCCCAGAATGAGGACAACAATAAATGGAGCAATGCTGACAGGTGAGCAGTAATGGGCAAGTAGTGTGAGCCACAAACAAACCTAAGTCATGTGGGTAGCATGCAGTCTTTATCATTGCTATATCTCTAGCCTTGGCACAGAGTGACCCCTCAGCAAACATCTACTGAATAAACACACGAAATAATTTCTATGCCTGTAACATATTTTACAGCTTAAAGAACCTTTAGAGAAACTTAATAATTTGCCTAAGGCACCAAAAAACAATGTTGCGGATTTGAAACTTGAATATTGATCAGTCTTGTCTAGGACCCAGGTGTTCCCTCTAGGTCTGTGGTTGGATCATTCATAAGCCATGAATTAGCAGAACCTCGGGGGGGGGGGTATATTGACTCACAGTCATTCTCTGAGAGAGAATAACTCTGTCTTCGATAGTTTGTGCTTTTAAAGCAACTAGAAGTTCTACAGGTCACACTCAACATCTTTCAGAACTGATTCAGACCCACCAACAACAGCATCCAAACCTGCACCAAAATTAATCAAAACAAAGTCCCAAGACATTCATAACATTAGAAAGGATTTAAAATGCAGAGCAACAAAGAATCTTAACATTACCTAATTTTGATCTTGAAATGAAAAGAGAATACCAGGTTTGGTGTGTTTTTTAAATTAAGAGTACTAGATAAGAGCTGATTAACCGGCAATAATCAGACAGTGTCCAGTGGCAGCTGTGGCGTGACGTTTTGTTACTGTGTAGTTGGGCACACACTTCCATTCATGCATGCACTCAATAGCTCTTTGCTGAGCCTTCTTCTGTGCTAGGCCTGGGTTGAGCACCTCATGAGTATTTTCGTATTTAATCCTTGCAACTGCATTACAGGCAGGTAATACCATCATTTCTATTTCATACATAAGGAAACTGAGCTTCTGAGGGGTGGGGATGTGCTCAGGGTCACAGAGTCAGTGAGTAATTGAGTTCCAGTTTCCCTCCTAGCAAACTTCTGCTCCCCTTCAAAACCCAAAGTAAAGGTTCCCCTGAGTTGTAGCCTTTCCACACGACCTTAGGCAGGGCTTCCCTCTCTTCTGCTCATTCTTATCACCCTCAGGTTTGCCTCTAAATTCCTCTTAGGTCAAGTAATTCGTGAAGATATATTTTTGTACTTGTCTTTCTTTCTAAAATTTGAGCTCCTCACAGTGAGAAATAATGAAATTTTGTGTGTGTGTTTTATAAAGAATGATTTTATTTAACTTTATTTATTAATTTGTTTTAATTTGACCAGAGAGGGACAGAGTGAGAGGAGGCAGGTAGTGGTGGTGGGGGGAAGACTAATAAAGCAAGCCCCCAGGTCTAGGACTTGAACTGTGGTCGGACATGTGGTAATCCAGTGCCCTTAACCACCATGCCACATGCAAAGCCCAGTGTGTGTTGTTTTATTATTTTTTTTATCATTACCTTTTGGTTAAAACCTCAGTAAATAAACTAAACAAAATACAAAGTATAAACTCCTGACATCCACATGCCCAGAAAATTTAATTGAGAAAGGCTTTTCTTCCTTTTTTTTTTTTTTTTTTTTGCTCTCCCATTTTTGGCAAGAATGATTCAGGATTAAATAAAATGTGAAAATTAATTATTACAGTTAAAATTAGGGAGAAAACAAAAGTGCTCCTCTCAGAGGACAGGGTTAAATGATCTCTAGCCTTCTCTTCTCTGAGGGTCAGGTACTATGCAAAAATATGGTGACATAAATATATATATTATTTATGTATATTATGTATAATATAACATATATTATATATTATATTTCATATATATATGTGTGTGTATACATATATGTATGTGTGTGTATATATGTATAAAACCTTAACTTACTGTGATGTTGTATTCCCAATAAACCCATCATGACATGAAAATATCGTATGAACCAAAAATGCATTTATTTCACTGAACCTACAGAATTTCACAAGTTAGCCCAGCCTCTCAGGCCCGACTCACCAGATGCGCCTCCAGTCTCGGGGTGGAGCTGCTCACTTTCTCTGGGTAAGTGCTATACCGTGCAATCCAGGTCAGCTGCATGAAAAGAACTTGCTCCAGGGATTAAGGAGGAGCTGACGAGAGAGGAAAACCCAAGACACAAGAATTACCACAGATTTGAGTGTTCGGGCTATAAATCCTGGATGTAAGACTCATTCTTTTAGTTGCTTCCATGACCTGCATTCAAAATATTGGCCACAAAGCCCGTCCCCTAGCCCAGGACACTTAGAAACTGGCATCTTTATATAATAGAGCCTCCCAGCCCTGATCATGAAGTAGGAGGGAAAGGCAATTGTATCCCAAACCTAAGAAAAGAGAGTCATTTCTTTACATTTTTTTAGGGTCCTCAGAAAAGTCATGATGCATTTTTGCATAATAGCAAACACTTAACCCTTACAGTGCTAGGCAAATGTTCTAAGCCTTATACAAAAATGATCTGATTTTATCTTCAGAACAGTCTCAGGAAATATTTTCTTGATGTTACAAAGGAACTAGGCACAGACATTAAGTGGCTGACTAAAGTCATGCAGCTAGAAGATAACAGAGTTGATGTATATACCGCTGGTTCTCCTTCAGAATCTCTTCTTTTAAGCACTTACCATGGTGTCTCCTATTTTAATATAGCATAATATTTTTATATTAAAAAGTTCCTAAATTCCTGAAATGTTGGGAACATTTTTAATAATCCTTTCAATTGTTTTTTTTTTTTTTGGAGAGATTTTCACTACAGGGCGCGTGCGCTCACCAGACAGACAGAGAGAGACACAGAGACAGAAAGCGAGAAATCACCCCCCGGGGGGATGGTCACGCTGCAATCCCTTCTCCTCCATTCTCCTCTCAGGATCTTGGGCACGCACGCACACGCGCCCGGCGTGAGTTTTAAACCACTGGGTCCGAGACGCGAACCGCGGTCAACTACGTGGGGCTATAGGGTGCGTGCGCTCGCCAGACACACAGAGAGAGACAGAGAGACAGAAAGCGAGAAATCACCCCCCGGGGGGATGGTCACGCTGCAATCCCTTCTCCTCCATTCTCCTCTCAGGATCTTGGGCACGCACGCACACGCGCCCGGCGTGAGTTTTAAACCACTGGGTCCGAGACGCGAACCGCGGTCAACTACGTGGGAGTCCAGCGACATAGCCATTACGCCAACTGCTGGTTCCCATAATCCTTTCAATCTTAATGATTCCTTTCTGCCTGTCCCCTAGCTCAAGAGAGTCCCTTACCCTGAGTTTCCTGAAGCTGCCCCAGGGGCTTCCCTGGGTGAAGTCTCTCTAGCTACCAGCTCATACAGTATTAGTTTCCTCATCAAACTTTGTTACATATACTCTTCATGTCTACTTTTTATCAGTTTCCCAGCAGGCTGAGTTCCAACCCCTCTGCCTGTCTGTCAAAGCTCAGCAAGCTGCATCACCTGTTCATGGTATACTAAGAATCCCCTCCTACAACATGCAATTTCAGCCATGTCAGGCCCCTCTCACTAAGTACCTGGGGAACTCTCTTAAGAAGGTTTCAGAGAAAGCTTCAGAGCTATAGCCATCCCTGAAATAGAAGCCAAAGTGCTACAGAAATACCTAGACTTCATCACATTTTAGCAGTAGGACCTCAGTCAGCTGGTTAACCTCTCTGTGCCTCAGTTTCCTAATTAAAGTAGAAAAATACTTTCTAGGATTGTTCTGAGGGTTAAATCAACTGATTTTGATTTTCGATTTTTGAATAGATAGAAAATGAAGGACATCCCAAGCAAGGCAAGGGAGCACCAGTAGGGAAGGAAGGAAACTAAAACTAAGAGGGTGGCCCCCAGGTTCTGAGTTTTTAATTTCTCTCAAGTGTGGCCCTTCTGTTTCAGTTTCCAATCTGAACCTTTGAATCAAAAGCAAAACTGAAATTTTCTCCCTTTGGGTCTCTCTCTCTCTCTTTGTAAAGTTTATTTCTTCATGTGTGAGAGAGACAATGAGAAGGAGAGACAGCTCTGCAACAGGGTCTTGATGCCATTATTTATCCAGAGCATAAGCCAGCCAGATCATGGGCATGCATGTTGGGTGTCCTCAGAGAGATATCTAGATGTGAACCTGGAAACTTCCATGGGGATCAGCCTCTCAGGGTGTTGCATTTTCACCTCTGCAATATCATTTGAGTCTCTTTAACAAGGGTGTGGGTAGAAGATTATAGGAGGTGGGGTAACATCAGATATTCTTCTTTGGAGACTTAAGTCCACAATCACGTTCAGGGAAAGAACAACCAAACTCATGAATCATGGTTGTGTAGCACACAGTTTTCTTCATCAGGATAAAGATAAATACTGGTTTGAGAAAAATAAACAAGTTTGTCCTAATTATACTTGATTTAAACATTAATTATTTTTTATTACATTCATCAGCAAATTTCAGAATCTTGCATTTTAAATCCCTGAAACCAAGTTCAACTATTTTAATTCCTCATATTAATAATAAGGTTTGAGTCTCCTGATTGACAATGTCTTCATGACAGAGGAATCAGTGCAACCAAAATTTTGTGTGAATTGGCTAATGCTATTTCCAGTTATGTATATCAATCTGTTTTCAACATTTAGCTTTGTCAATTGTTTCTCCTCTATTAGTCATTTCTATTCACAAGCCATAAACTTGATCATAATGAGGAAGATAAATCCTACCCATTCTTTTAAGACCTTTTATTTTCTGAAACATATTCTCTCTTAATTTTTCTAACAAAATATGTCTAATTAATATCTATCTCCTTATTTCATGTTTAGGGCCAAAGTTTAAGTAACAGAGCTTTCATAGTCATCGACAACAATTATTGGATTCAAAAGAATTTTAAGAGAGTCAAAAGGACTTTTTTCATGTCAGTAGCAACAGTAGCAGCTAACTGATGGCAGTCACAACTTCAATGGTCTATGTTGTATTGATTTTCATGGAGGTCACGCTGTGCCAGTAAGAGGCTCAGCTATTCCAGTGGGTCAAGCAGTGTGCTTGTCACTGAATGAGGTTTTGAGAATAGAGCTTAGAGATTTGTCTTCCTTCCTCCATTACTTACCAGTTACACTGTCAGCATCCTTGTGATTACTGTACTCACACATGTTTAAAGAATCACAATGACCTGTATGAACTGTTTTCTATTTGCTAAAGAGAGATGAAGTAAATACACAGTAAAAGAAAATATTTTCCAGAATGTAGAGATAATAACTGCTAATATGTTATGCTAGTATTTTATAGTTTCTAACTTCTTCCTTGCAAGTCATGCATATATAAGGAAAAAAGAAATGTTGACTCACACAAAACCCCTATAATTATGTTTGACAATTCTGACTGAGCATGAATACTTGGGTGTGAATTAGGTTTGCACTTTCCATGTTGTTCTGGCAATACTTTAACTGTGGTCAGCACTCTGGCTAATTTGGCTGAAGAAAAACTTGAGAGGGTCAGCTCTGTAGCCCAGTGGTTAAGGGAGCTGGATCCCAAATGACCAACTACAGTTCAAACACCAGACCTGGTGACTTGAAATATACCCCAGATGTGCCCCAAATCCCAACAGGATGGAGAAATGCAAAAGAAGAAATTGTGACATGGCCATACCCGTTGGGGATGCTTTCTCCAATACTTTCTTTTTTTCTCTCTCTGTCTGTTGAGTGCATGCACCCAATGCCATTTTGAAAAAGGAAAAAAAAAAAAAGAAAGAAAGAAAAAGAAAAAACAACTTGAGAAACAAAGGAGCTAAACTAATCAAAATATCACAGAGAGGCTTCCTGAAGTAAAAGTACTATTTTAAAAAGAAAATAGCCTTGAAATGCCTGCATTCTAAAACTCATCAGCTTCACGTGCACTAAGCAAGGGCTTCTTGGTTTGCACTGAGAAAATGAATAACTATTGGACTCACTATTAAAGAAACCAATTAGCAGAGATGTTATATTCCTCCTAGCCCACTGCTCTGCACACCTGCACACTAGGTATTTGGTACTAAGTTCATGCTTAACTACTGCCCGAGTACCAACCCTTTCTCTGAGATTCTTGCCCCTCATTTTCCCCTTAACACTACTTTCAAATTCATACTCATAATTCAGGCTCTTATTCAAACATCCCCAGACAAGTTTCACCCCTCAGTTATCTCATCTTATTATAGTTTATATGATAAAATGTATGACTTAATACTTAAAGGATATTTTATCTCAGTTGGTTACTATATACCTTGGCTCCTTAACTAGTTTGTAAATATGTTGAGAGTAAGACTAAGATTTATACAATCTTAAAATCTATAAGTAAGTATTTGCTTATCTGATAGACTGCAATTTACTATGTGTGTCCCCAGCAGATGTAGTGGGAGGAATGAAGGAGCTGTGTCAAAACGTGCTGATGGGCTCTGAAAGCTGGATGAATTTTCAAGCTTACCTTGAATCTACAATCGCTAACATGCTCTGTCTTCTGTCCCACTGTTCTGGGTCCTCTCAGTCCCCTTTAATCCAGTACTTTAATCCAGTAATTTGGAGGAAATCCTGGTTTGTTTTCAACGATGTCAATTATAATTGTGTGCTGGATGACGGGTTCAGGACAGGCCTTCAGCTGTGACCTGCTTGTGAAGGTTGATGCACTCAGGAAGGGAACAAACCCACAGTCTCCCTCCTCCGTAGGATACCAACCATCCCAGGGAATCCAGATCTGAGCGGTCAGAACAGGGACAAAGACCCTTAATCTGATGTCTTCCTAGACATGTCTGAAAGGCAGTTTCTGTTGCTAGGACATTCTCCCCTTTGTTTTCTGTGCTCCTGTTACGACTATATTGTCTGCTACAGTTTTGGATTACTTCTTACCAAAGAGAATCAAAATGTTTTATGGGAGAGTTTTTTTTTTCCAGTGTCTGATTTCTATGTTCTTTGTTCCACTGCCAAGTTCTTTCTGAGATGAAATTGTGAAGTCACTTCCAGAAGTCTAAGGTTATGGCTTATACTTGTTCTTATTATTATAATGTTTTTGTTGTCATAAACTTTACACCAGTCATAGAATCGCACATTCTAAAAACAATAGGGGATTAAACATAACCTTTTGACTGGCAAACTTACATAAATTAAACCAGCAGTTGTATTAGTTTCTCTTAAAATAGTTAGATTTTCTAACCTCTTCTGCTTTAGTAATGAATGCTGTAAGAGAAAACTGAAATTGTTTTACTGTCTTTCTCACCACCTGGAATTTATAGGGCAGGCATCTTTGTCTGTTTTCCTTAGTAATGTATCCCAAATTCTAGAAAAATTTCTGGCAAATAAAGGAAATTATAAAGAATTGTTGCTGAATGTAGGTAACTTTTCCCAACTCTATTAATATTTTTTGTCTATTTTTAGCCCAGGAAAGTTTCTGGAATGTGTATATTTCCACTTATGGTTTATATGTTTGATTTTTATTTAAAAATTAAAATCAATTACTTATTCCAAAAAATATAACTTATTCTCATAGAACTACATTATGTTAACAAATAATGATAAAATTAAAATTCACTTTAACATCACCCAAGAGAAGATGTGCAGTGTATCAAAATTCCAGAAACCTTGGGAACCAGCAGTTAACCTAATGGCTATGTCGCTGAACTCCCATGTAGTCGACCGCAGTTCGCGTCCCAGACCTGGTGGCTTAGAACTCACGCCGGGCACGTGTGCATGCGTGCCCAAGATCCCGAGAGGAGAATGGAGGAGAAGGGATTCCGGCATGACCATCCCCCCTGGGGGGTGATTTCTCGCTTTCTGTCTCTGTCTTTCTGGCGAGCGCACACGCCCTTATAGCGAAAACCTCTCAAAAAAAAAAAAAAAAATTCCAGAAACCTCTACATACCTTCAAGATTATAGAACTACATCCTCCACAGAGGTAACTACTATTCTGAATCTTAGGGTAATTATATCATTGCTTTTCTTTTCAGTTTTGTACAGACTTACATAAGCCTAAACAACTTTTATTACTCCATTTTTTTTCTCCACAAGTTAGAAATTTTTACTTATCTTAGCATTATCAAAATCTAAGCTTACTCAAACCCTTACCATTCTCCAAGAAAAGGCAGAATGAACTAATTAATTCCATTTTCCCCTTCCTGACATCCGCACTATAGTTTCTGATATTTCCATACATCTTGTTGGGGTTTTCTTAACCTTACTATTTATAACTGTCACTGTTTTATATAATCAATATTTATTTACATTTCTCTATATAGTTACAACTTTCTTTTTCATTCTTTCTTGCATCTGAAATGTTCCTTCTAAGATCATTTTGCTTCTACCTCAAGAATATCCTTTAGAATTTGCTTTAGTGAATCTCTGTTTATGAGCAAATATTGCAGTTTTAGTGTGGTTTTTTTCTCTTTAAATATTTATCATAATTTATGATTTACGTATAATCACTACACATATTTTTAGGGTACAGGATGGTCTTTGAAAGCATGCATATGGTGTGTAATAAACATATCAAGGATATAAACATATTACCTTCAACATGTAACATTATTTTGTGAACATTTGAAACTCTCTCCAGTAGTTATTCTGCAGATATGTACTGAATTGTCTTGACACTCTTTATTGTGAGGTTCAGTTCTGAAGAAAATTATATTGATTAAAAATCAGGCAACAAATAATTTCATAAATTAACAGAGATAATCTCAACATACCCAATGAAAAAAGGACTTGTAATTTCCAGATAGATGACTGTGGGAGATAAGATTTTATAAAGTAAAAAAAAATCCATGTGTATTATTCATTGGTCCAGTTAGAGAGAGGTAAAATTTAACATAACAATATGTGATTAGGAAATGGTAAAAAAAAGAATACTTTTACTCACATACTGTGAGTTCTTGTCTGTCCCCCTCTGGCTTTCTGGCGAGCGCACCCCCCCTTATAGCGAAAACCTCCAAAAAAAAAAAAAAAATTCCAGAAACCTCTACATACCTTCAAGATTATAGAACTACATCCTCCACAGAGGTAACTACTATTCTGAATCTTAGGGTAATTATATCATTGCTTTTCTTTTCAGTTTTGTACAGACTTACATAAGCCTAAACAACTTTTATTACTCCATTTTTTTTCTCCACAAGTTAGAAATTTTTACTTATCTTAGCATTATCAAAATCTAAGCTTACTCAAACCCTTACCATTCTCCAAGAAAAGGCAGAATGAACTAATTAATTCCATTTTCCCCTTCCTGACATCCGCACTATAGTTTCTGATATTTCCATACATCTTGTTGGGGTTTTCTTAACCTTACTATTTATAACTGTCACTGTTTTATATAATCAATATTTATTTACATTTCTCTATATAGTTACAACTTTCTTTTTCATTCTTTCTTGCATCTGAAATGTTCCTTCTAAGATCATTTTGCTTCTACCTCAAGAATATCCTTTAGAATTTGCTTTAGTGAATCTCTGTTTATGAGCAAATATTGCAGTTTTAGTGTGGTTTTTTTCTCTTTAAATATTTATCATAATTTATGATTTACGTATAATCACTACACATATTTTTAGGGTACAGGATGGTCTTTGAAAGCATGCATATGGTGTGTAATAAACATATCAAGGATATAAACATATTACCTTCAACATGTAACATTATTTTGTGAACATTTGAAACTCTCTCCAGTAGTTATTCTGCAGATATGTACTGAATTGTCTTGACACTCTTTATTGTGAGGTTCAGTTCTGAAGAAAATTATATTGATTAAAAATCAGGCAACAAATAATTTCATAAATTAACAGAGATAATCTCAACATACCCAATGAAAAAAGGACTTGTAATTTCCAGATAGATGACTGTGGGAGATAAGATTTTATAAAGTAAAAAAAAATCCATGTGTATTATTCATTGGTCCAGTTAGAGAGAGGTAAAATTTAACATAACAATATGTGATTAGGAAATGGTAAAAAAAAGAATACTTTTACTCACATACTGTGAGTTCTTGTAAGACCATAGTACTATTGTACTATGCATAAGGAAACAAGTCTTTGAAAAAGCAAAGACAAAAGAAAATTGGAACAAGATGTTTAAAAGTGAAGACATGGTAAAGCCAGTGATTTGGTAACTAAAAGGCTTTACTTGATTTTAGCCTTTTTTATAATTCATTCCAAAGAAAAACTCAGCAGTAACATTTTGAACTTTTCCTTTATTATCTAATTTTATACAATGAGTAATGGTTATAATAAATAATTTGAAACCTGTGGAGATAATTGTCTATTAAATAATTGGTGGATTTGTATTTAAATGTGCTTATGTTGAATTGTTGAATCTACATTTAGTCCCAATATTCAATGCTATTATCAATATGTTTGGACTTACCCTTTTTCCTAGTTGCTTTGTGTTCTCTTCTCTTTGTCTCTCTTTAGCTTTCCTGTATAGTAGTCCTTTAAGTATTTCCTAAAGTGCCAGTTTCATTTTGATGAATTCTTTCAGCATTTGTTTATCTGGTAATGATTTTATTTCTCCTTCCAATATGAATATAATCTTGCAGGTATGGTACTCTTGGTTGACATTGCTTTTCTTTCAAAGTTTAAATTATGTTTTCCCATACTTCCTTGCCTGCATTGTTTCAGCTGAGAGACCCAATGTTAGTCTAATGGGGGTAAACTTTGTGAGTAACTTGATATTTCTCTCTTGCCAATTTTAGGATTTTTTACTTTGTCTTTGATTTTTATCAAAGTGGTAAAAATCAAAGACACTACGATAAGCCTTGGAGAGGATCTTCATATGTTATATCTATTCAGTGTGTCCTCTGTATCTCTGGATTTGGATGTCCACATACATCTGTAAATTTGGAAAGTTTTCAGCTAATATATTATGAAAGATGTTTTCTATGTCTTTACCTGTCTCTTCACCTTCTGGAATACGTATTATGCAGATACTTGGTTATTTAATAGTGTCTAGAATTTCCCACATATTGTCTTCATTTTTAATAGTAATTCTTCTTTTCAGTTCCTTGGACTAAATCAAAAAGTTTGTCTTCAGGCTCAGAGATTCTTTCTCTGTACAGTCTAATCTGCTATTGATACTTTCAAGGGAGGTTTTGATTTCCTGTATTCTTTATCTCCAGAAGTTCTGTTTGATTCTTTTTCAGTATATCTATCTCTTTATGGAGTTCCTCCATCATGTCGTGGAAGGATTTTCTCATCTCCTGTAATTGGTTCTGTTTTCTCTTGCATCTTCTTGAGTATTATTATAACAAATATTCTGAATTCTTTTTCTGATCTCTTCATTTTACTCATTGTTGGTGAGGAGTGACAATCCTTTGAGAGGCAGGTATTTTCTGATTTTCTCCTATTTTTTCAGGCTCTACTTTGATTTTTTGTCACCTGGTGATATACTCACTTCCTCCTACTTCTTTGGAGTATGTTTCTGTAGCTATATGTGCCTGTACTTCTCTAAGCAATGCATAATATCTATGCCAATTTACCTCCTTTATTGTAGAGTATAGCATAGATGGTAATGTATAATTTTGAAAATCTTAAACACGTCGTAGATATAAGCAGTTATAAGCCATCCCAAAAGCACTTTTCTTGTTCACAGTAAATTTTTCACAGCTGAGTGAAGGGAAAATAATTAGCCATTT